AAAAGTATAAATAATTTCAATATTAAAATAAATATCAGATATTGTGTAAAAGTCAATAAATATTTTTCTCCATTGATTATAAATATCAATTATATAATGATTAACGATTGAGAAAATAATTGCTTTTAGCGAAAAAAGTTTCGTATTGGAAATAAATAATATAATCATGGAGAGAATTTTCTTTTAAAATTTATTCTGAAAATATAGTAGTGGTACAATATAATATTTTAAAGATTTTTATCACACACTTCAATAAAATGGATTAAATTTATTTTATACGTCATTGTAGTTTTATTAATGAATGAGAGAGATTTACATTAAAATTCTTTGAAATACAATGTTGTTCTACGACTGTCATATTTTCAGGGTAAATTCTAAGAAAAAATTCTCTCCGTGTATGATTATATTATCTTTTATCTATTTTATGCGAGTTTTTTTTAATGAAATCTTATCTTTAAAAATATTTTAAAAAATATATGTAATATATAATATGTAATATGAAATAAAATTGAGCAAGAGCAATATAGATTATGATATTTTTGATAAGAAAAATAATTTTTGAATGAAATTTCATAGGATAGAAATTGCGAATAAAAAGATCCTGATTTTATACAATATTCTGTATAAATCATTCTTGTTTTTAACTTTATTATTCTTTATGATTAAATCTCTTGCTTTTATATTCTTTCCGAGATAAATAGAAAGGCATTGCGTAGGCGAGATTACACAAAAAAAAAACATAACAGTCAACGTCACAATGTGCGATATGCGGACGTCAATCATTGCAGAACATCAGGTACTCCCTACGCTTTCATATTGCGAAACGAGCCACGATAATCTCTTATCGTTATGAACAACGCATTCCTCGCGACACAATTCGTGGACGTGTGGACGTTCTAGTTATCGCAATCAGCGTATCGCAACTTGGCAATATTAATGATAAAGCATGCAGCACAATGCGAAATGTTCGAAATATCCGATTGAGAGATCATCATTGATGAAAGTTCGATTATCAATGATGATGCAATTGAGATTGATTTTTCACGCGATCGAGATGACGAACTTAAGCATTAATTTGCGACGTGTTGCAAGATATCGCGTGAGTCTATTGTGATATTGATACGCGTGAATACGATACGCTTTGTGTGCACACAAGTTACGGAACAATATCTTACACCGGCGTGTACTCAATAATCTAAACAAAATTGCATGTGTGACAGGATTTCGAAATATTGAGACATTTTAAGTAAACGCAGCACCGAAAGTAGTATATTAGCACTTAATTTTGTCAATAATAAGACATTGTTGCCGAAAATTGAAAATGCGACGAATGTTGAGTTGATTTTTCCTTGAAGGGAAGGCAATAAAAATTTATCTCAGAATTTTGTAAGTATGTACGTGCTTAATTTAATTTCCAATCTTATTTGACAAGATTTTTATGCTAATTTAAAAATTTTTAAAGAACTTATAGTGTAATTTTGTAGCGAACACATATCCGCAAGGAATTATTTCTATTTATATTAATTATATAGATGCACCTTCTTTGTATATAGGCACACATAAATTAATTTTTTTAAAGAAAAAATTTTTGAGACGACCTCAATTTTTATTTTTATTTTTTTTCATTATACATATATTATAACAAAAAATTGTCAATTATATTACCATTGTAACAATTCTTAAGTTAGAATACTTTTATTTATTTAATTTCTCTTTCATTTTATCTTTTTATAGAATTAACAAGAAAAGAAACTTGATTTCATCGTTGTAATATACATAGAATTGCTTACGCCAATGACTCCGCGAATGGAGATTTCCATTGCAAGAGGACTGGCGCCTACAATGGTATGTCATTGTCTGAGTTATTTGCGGGAAATCTGCGTCGGCAAAAATAGAAATATATGTATATGTACGAGATGAATAAGGAAAAAGGATGACGTGGGGCTAGCACGTGCGTCTTTAGTTTGACAATCAGTTTTGCATAAGCTTCCCCGAATAGGACAATTTTCTTTGAATTAAATTCCCAATCAAAATTCGAAAATAGAAATTCTATTTTCAATCAATTCGAAAGTAGAAATGTTATTCTCAGTTAAAAATTTGACAATAGGATTTCTTTATTGTTTTAAATTAATTTTTATTGTTGCCCAATCAATATATAATCGTCAAATGTTATATTGTCAATCACTCACGATTGACTTTTTGAAAAAAACATGTGATTTGTCTATTCATTATTTAATAATATTAAATACTATTAAATAATATTAAATTTAATATTAAATACTTAATAAATGTTTACAAGAAGTTATTTAAAGGATAATTAAAGCGAGAGATAATTAAATCTTTCACGATCTTTTTCAGTAGGAAATAATTAAATTTCTTGCTGATTCGAATTGTTTGCGGCTAGACACCTCACTGTATTTATATAAATAACATATTTATATGAATAACGAGAAAATCACTTTTATTTAGCTATATGTTTTTTATGAACAATAACATAGTTTTTATTTATTAATATTTTTATAATTAAATCACTTTTTAAAATTGACGCAGATCTTGTCAAGTAATATTTGAGATAAAATTATGTACTTTCAAAGTAATTTTTATTCATCAATCAACATGAATCATCATTTGTCACAATTTTCCATCTCTAGAAAGCTTTCTCTCATCTCTTTTTTAGAAAGTCAATCAAATCAGAGCATTATTATCTCAAAATACAATTTAATAGAAAAACTGACGAATTCTTTGTTCGAATTTAGTCGATCTAAACAGAAAATCGATAAGAAATTCACTGCTTTTCTGAAATACGTATTAGCTAATGAATGAGATCCGTTTAATCGGCTGCATTAGTTTTGCAATAATTAAGATATAATATGCCTCTCTGAGGCCTGCATCCGCCAACGGGAAGTTCATCAAGGTACACGTACGCCTACGTCCGTTTATCAATTTCATTCTCGAGCACGTCCATTCAGCTCCCACATGTATCATATCATAGACTAACACCTACACTTGATCTCCACTTGCACTTGCGTGGCGTCCTCTTCGTCCTGCTCGTTCCTCGTCACGACTTCTCTGCATCTCTGCGAATAATCCAACTTTCCTACACGTATCCTGGCCTCAATACGCCAAATACATTCTCTGAAAGCATGGGTCGAAACAAAAATTTGTAATGCTACGAATTCCAAAATTCAATTCCAGTAGTTATAATTTTAATAAAAATAAATGAAATTTAAATTAAAAACGATTTTTAAAGATTAAAATTTTTATTTTCGAAAGATTACTATTTTTTGAGTTTTTGTGTGTTTGATAATTTTTGTATATAAAAAACTTCGAGTTGAACAAAATTCTTATTTTGTAAGCCTGTCACATGACAAAAAATCTTGCAAAAATTTTCGATATTCTAATGCGAAAGTTTAAAGTTTTTCTTATAAAATCGTTTATTTAAATATTCCTAAGATTTTTTGTGTTACTGAATTATCGCAGATTAAATAAAAGGAAGGTTTACTTCGATTGCTCATAACTCTCTTAAAATTTATTATATCGCAATTTAAAAAAAATAGATTTTTAAAACTAAAAGTCTATCGGTATAATTGCCAATTTTTTTTAACGTGCAGACATGATACAAATGAAGTAGCTCTACAAACTTTCCGATTCAAGAGAATATTTTGTCAGTGACGCATTGTACGTTCGCAAAGAAAATTTGTATATTGCCATCATTATTTTTAATTTTTAATCTAGTAAAATGACGGGATATTTTCAATTCCTACATTTCCAGCTTTATGCTGAAAGTCTGACGAAAGTCGCGATACATCTGACGAGGAAAATCTTCCTAGCTGTTCAATTACAGCTCTCTATAATTTATGTTTTTTTCTAGAGTCTCGAAATGCATCGAATTTTTTTTATTTTCGAATAAACAGATTTAATCTTGGAGGAAAGAACATCCTTGACAAAGGACTATATTCAGTTGTAATCGCGAATAATCACTATAGTAGGATGCGACATATCAACGCAAAAAGAAAAAAATTAACAAACGAACATGAAATTATTTTGCTAATCTGGAAACTCAGGACATTTTATTATCCTAAATTTGCGTGATGCGACTACTAATTTTTGTATTTTCCATACAAAATATTAAGTAATCAATATACAGTAATTAAGTAATTACACAATAATTATGCATAATAACTGCAATTATCAACAATAATTGAACGACGTAATTCTGGAAATTAATTAGAGTAGAAAATTGTGAAATTATATTTTACACACATATTAATCCATTATCCTGTTACAGATCTTTATTATCGAGGTGTGATGTTGATTTTTAATTCTTTTCAGAATTAAAATTCTCAGTCGATCACGTGTCTCTTATATTTCTCATCTGCGATTTCAATTTCTCGGCTTACTCGTGTAGCCCATTAAAATTATATCGGATGTGCTGATTGCAAATATCTCGCGTAGTATTTAAAAATGAAATGAATTCAGGTCGCTGGACTTTTTCTGAGCATGGCGCGGAATAGGAGTGTCGATCAATACGCTCGTTACTGTTTCAGATTCTTTGTGAGTTATTCATCAACCGCCGTCTATCTGCGCATTAATTTGATTAACTCGCGCGAGAGTAATATATACGTAAATGGCGATCGACCACGCACGATAGAAAGCTTTCATTCTACGTGGGAGGATACAAATGGAGTTCTATAATGAAGCACGTGCTTTCCACAGTCGCTAATTAATTTAATACGTAAACATCCAATATACATGTCCGCTGATGGATATCGTGCCTAAGCATATAATTTTAAGGCCGTTTTATCTGTGACAAATCGATTTGCTATCAGAAAGTATTAAAAAAAAAGAAAAATCAAGCAATATTAAGGAAATTAGAACAAACGAAATTATTTTTTTAATCTGAAAACTTAAGACGTTTTTATCTTAAACTTGCGATATGACTACTGAATTTTTTACATACAAAATACAGTAATTAAATAATTATACAATGATTATATAAAATAATCATACACTGAGAGAACGGTTTTGCTAAAAATTTAGTTAGATACAGATCTGAAAATAATTTTATTCGACTATTAAAATATGTTATGTAGGACACTGAAATATTTAAAAATTTAGTTAGATATAGACCTAAAAATAATTTTTAGATCTAAAAAAATAATTAGGACGCTCAAAATGATTGCCAGAATGTTAAAAATTTTTGCAGCATTCCTCATCATGTTTGAAATTTCTAAGTAATTATTTTGATGGGCCAACAAAATTATTTTTAGATCTGTATCTTATTAAATTTTTAGATACTTCATCAAAATCGTTCTTTCTACACAATAATTGGATAGTATAAGTGGAAATCGACAAAGAAACGTTTACATATAAGTGAAGGAAGTCATATTCGGTCAAAGTAGGTCTTAGTGGCTATGATAATGATTGCGTTCAGCAGAAGAACAGCTTTATAACTATTGTAAGATTCTTTAATAATGCTCTTAGTTCCATATGAATCTAAATGCATAACCAATATTAAAGAATCTCATAACAAAGTTACTTTTTCTGCTAAACACAGTCAATATTTTTGCATGAATTTCACATGATTTTGACCTTCTTTTCTTATCTATATGTGTTGAAAGAAAAAATTAATCATACTTTGCGAACTGACTCGCTTTAAATTTGTGGAGTTTCTTCTGAAGTCTAGGTTTCTTCTGAAGTCTAGGTTTCTTCTGAAGAGAGGAATTCCCGGAATTCAAGGGTTGGCGAACTTTTATTATAAATCTAGTGAACTTTTATCAGGAGTTTGTAACAGGAGTCTGTAAACACTGATTATATAATGACAGATGTGTTTGCCGAGAAAGCTTTACGGAATTAACTGATAGACAATGATTTACCAACCTTTCCCAAGAAAATTCTCTTCCTCTTTTCCTCTCTTCCTTTCTTTCTTTTTCTCGATAAAATCGATTATCTCTTGCGGACCGAGGGTAATCATCTCGTATCCTTCAGAAAACTTTCCACTAGCGACAACTCGGCTCCGCTTCTTTTTTCTGATCTTTCTTTGTGCGCGCGCGCGCTGACGTCAATTATTTCATTGTAATACATAACTTTGCAACGCTCATTATGCACGTTTATTCTTTCCAGGTTATCAACGGGGTCTATCACACATATTGTATATACGTATATAAGAAAAGCTGGAGCTGTGAACAGCGGAATATACTATTATATGATTACACGCACATTTGTTTGTAATGAGCTATTATAATTAATAATTGATGATTTTACGCTGCACCGGCCACTTTTTACGCGATGCTAACTCAATCCTGGTCACTTTTAATTATCTTGTTATTTGAATATCATCATTGCCTAGATAATGTGTTAAGTATTATATTAATAAACAAATATAGGATTTCACAAATTTTTGAAATTTTTTGGAAATTGTTTATCCATTATTAATGGAAATTGTTGTATAATGATATATGTATATACAGGATATTTTCTAATTGGACATAAATCGACAGAGTAAGTATCATTTTATCTTTGTTATTTAATGAAATATCAAGAAAGAAAATATTTGTGTCGATTTGTGTCATAAATGGAAAGCTTTCATGATTTTTAACAAAAAAGATTACACACCGATCTAAATTGGACTCATTTTCTTATTAATGGTATATAGATATGACTTCGAGGCGTAGCATATCTCTCATAAGTCTTGTCAAAATAAATATTGAAATAGTCCTGGTTTTTGATTTCAGAGATAATGGTTCTTTTCTTTAAACTTTTACATATTTTTTTGTCAAGGAGAATATAAAAAGAATATATTTTTTTATATGTAAATGTCTTTATACATTAACATACATATAAATATAATACACAAGTAAAAGAAAATATATTATTGCAATAATAACTGAGTAATAAACTGAAGAGAGTAAGCTTAAGGAGATCTTAAAGTCGTCTGTTTTCATAATTAAAATGTAAATGATAATATAGTTCAAACCGGTCAGTTTATACGAAAAAAGTTGGAAAATTATAGTTTTGTTATCAGTTTCTGAGTCAATAATATTTGCTTTATATGTAAGTTATATGTAAAACACACACACACACACACACACACACACACACACACACACACACACACACACACACACACACACACCTTATATGATAAAATAATCTTGGGATTATACGAATAAATAGTATTGAGTTTTTAGAATTAGATATTTAATATAAAACATTAATTAGTTAAGTTAGAAAATTTGTGCGTATGTGTGTGTGTGCAATATTGATATAATAGATGATGTGTCAATACATAAATCGTATTTGAAATTCCTACTGAATCGGTAAAAGAAATGACTTTATTAGAATCTTAAGGCGGAAAACTATGCAACTGCATTATTGACAGCTGCATTATTATTTAAAATGTATTATTAATTGCATTGATCACGTTATTTAATTCGTATTTGGCAAATATGGTAATACGATATAACAATATAAACATTGTTTATGACGTGTGATATGACAATTTGTTTTGTTTAATATATTTTGTCTAGTTTTGCTGTGTCATATTTTCTGCAAGTGGTTCGTATTTCGCAAACGACATATAAAGAAATATACATATAAAGAAAAAAATCGGAGATGCGCATTATATTAATTGTTATACATGTTATAATCAAGACTTACCTAATACATTCAAGTAGAATAACTTTACAAAAGGGACAATTTTGCTAAAGCATTAAAAATTTTAGCTATACATACAGAATAATTTTGTTCGACTATCAAAATAATTATATAGGACATTCAAACTAGAATGTTAAAAATTTTTGCAGTATTACTCATCGTACTTGAAATTCCTAAGTAATTATTTTGATAGTCCAATAAAATTATTTTCAAATCTGCATCTCGCAAAATTTTTAGAGATTGCACTATAGTAAAATCATCTTTTTCGTGCGAAAAGTAGAATAAAGTGACTTTTCGATTCAATCAGATAAATTTTTAACCAATGGAAATAATAAAAGTCAGTAAATCTAGAATTTATTATGGTTTTTTCCATTCATTTTATTTTTCCGGCTAACTCGGGATTTTTGTATTATCTTGTTCGTCACGCATGTGTCGATAATATTGTTTCACATTTATCCAATAGATAGTTTTATCATTATTGGAATGAAATGATAAAGGTAGGAGAAGAAAATAAAAATACATTTTGCTCGAAACGTCATTAAGACTCGTATTACTTTATCATTTATCTTGCGTGAGTAATACATTCATTTTCAGCACTATAAAAAAAGGAAAGAATCGATTATCATTATTGTTTCCGATTTTTGCTGACCTTCAAGACACATTTTATATCAATAATTAAGATCAATAATTAAAATAAGCCTGGCTTATTGATTCCTCGACTTTTTATATCGCAATTTTGTTACAATATGAAAGAAAGAGAAAAAAATTGAAAAAAGAAATTAACTTCAAGCAAAACCGATAAAATTTCCTATACATATATTATAAAGTATATTTATATATTGTAAAATTATTTCTGTTTTAAGGAATAATATTTTAGAAGATATAACTTTAAAAATTTTTACGGATTTTTATCTGTCTATGAATTCGAGAATTTTCCGTAATTTAACATATAATATAATTCCAAAAATGGGAGATAAACGGGAGATAAATAAAGATTATGTTTATATTTTTTTCCTTTCACTTCATACTTCAGAAGTAATCTTTAAGACCGGCAACAAGGTCATTCTGTATCGCTAACGAATCATATCAAATATGATAAATGGTGATGCGACGACTGATGCTAGTGAATGCGAGGGCGAAGGTGGGCATGACTGAGCGCGTATATTTATAGCGGCAGCTTCCTCTTCTCTTCGCTACGAAAATAAGCGCTTTTCCTGTTGTGTTTATGCTAATGAAAGAAAGAGAGGGAGAGGGGGAGGGGGGAGAGAGAGATAGAGAGAGAGAGGGAGAGAGAGAGAGAGAGAAAGACAGGGGCGTCACGTTTTTCCTTCGGCCGCATGCACTCAACACTCACGCGATGCACGTCTTGCAGATCTATTTACATTTTCCGAATTCGCTTTACTTGGCAATCGATAATATTATCATTATACGATAGAATGATGCATCGCATTCAGACTTCCTGCAATGCGTTTCGAATAAATTCGTTTTAATAAATTTTAGAATTATTTTACTGATACGTGCACCTTTAAGTCTAATAATGTGCGCGCGCGCGCGCGCGCGCGCGTGTGTGTGTGTGTGTGTGTGTGTGTGTGCGTGTATAGACTCTAACAATACGATCTAACAATACGCGTACATCAGATTGGAACTGACCGAGGCACATCATGTGCCAAGGATGCGAAAATTCTATGTAAACACGGAACATATTTTTGCGGGAATTCGCGACGCGAATGGGTGAAAATAGTCCATGCTAATCTATTTGATGCTGGCGTCTGCAAGACGCCAACACAACGATCTTCATCGTCACTAATCACGTTCTACGCAGAATAACTATAAATGTAACATAGCCGACGGAATTAAGATTACGCTTTCTGTTACGTGAGTTAACTGCACACGGATTTTATTTAAAGTGGCATAAATTTGTTGTGCACTTTGTGCTACTGAAAGCATTGTGCGTCATCGAGTTTATTATTACATTTTGCAACTTCGATTCAAATGTTGACTAAATCGCGGATAACACAAATTTATCTAATCCTCTTAGCATTGCTGTTATCATTTAAGTTTCGTGACATAAAACTGCTGCAAGTAACAGGATAATTTAAAAAATACATGTTTTTTATACATACAAAGTAGTCTATTTAACCTTTCATTTTCTCGCGTGAGATATTCAGTATCATCTCGATGAGTATCAGTATTACTTATTTATTAAATTATTTACTAAATGTACACATGCTATTATACATATTTATTAAATGTACACATGCTATTATACACATTATTATATTTAGTGCAATTATTTCACAATTAAAACATTTTTTTGCGTTTGTCTTTATCTAAAAGATGTATAAATTAATAAATCATCAAAAAGGATAAAGAAAATTTAGATGTAATATTGGAATGTGAGAAACACTTCACGCGAATAATTACGTTAAAAAAAAATGACGCGAAGATAAGATTAAAATTAATTTCTCTAATGTAAGATTAAAATTAATTTCTTATAATTTTTATTTTAATAATAATAAATATAGAAAAAAAGAGAGAGAAATTAATATTTTTTTTTATTGTAGATATGTAAAAAAATCGCTAAATAAGATTATTTATCTTTGTGAAAGAATCATAAAACTTTCTAAGAATTTTGTAGCAAAACCTTGACAAAATTTTCGTTTGTAAAATTTATACTGATAATTAATCCTATGACGTTAGCATCTATCGAGTTTTACGATTCCATCTACTTTGGATTGTTAGAGTGCCAATGACGCACAACATTTTTAGGAACTTTTAGTTGAAGTGCACAAGATATTTATGCCACTTTAGACGAAATTTTCTTCCAGTTAGCGCGTATATTAAATCATCAATTTGGCACCGTGTTATTCATTAACTATCACGTACGTCATATACTTTATATGTATTGTTATATACTGTTGGGAATTATATTTCACGCCTGGTTGCAACAAAATTTAATTTCATTTGTTTGATTTGAAAGATATATGCTTCAATAGCATTTAAAATAACAAATGATTGAGCGCATTCTTTTTTAAATTAAATTTGAACAATGAATATTTTTTTAATACACAATATTGTATTTTTTTGTAATTAATTTTGATGTATCTTTATTTTCGATTAAAAATGCCACACGATCCTTGTTTCATCGTTCAAAGTTTGATTTATATTTGTAATTTTTTCGGCTTAAAGAAGTCAAACGCAATTCTATGTGAATATACGCAAATTTCAAAAACATGCTAACAAATCTACGTGAAATTGTTATGCTTACAGAAAATCTAATACTAGCTAATTTATTAGTGAAAAACAGTAATTAATTATTTACTTAGAAGTATAAAACAGTACTTTAAATACCTAAATTAATTACTATTTTTTCAATATTAAATTAGATACTAGATATCTGCAATCAGTCATAGAGAGCTTCGCAATTTTTTACGAAAATTCCACACTGAAAAAAAGTATTGAATTTCAAGAAATATTTATTTGAATAGTATTAAGTAAAAATTTACTCTAAGTAAACATATATCTGTTCACAAAAACCATTAATTTGATTTAACTATCATTTTTTTTATTAAATATTTATTGTAAATATTTATTTAGTATTATTTAAAAAAATAT